TCGAAAATTCTAACAGCGTAATAATACTAGCAGCGCTCGCTGCAATAGTATTGCAATGCAATTAATTCTTGGATTCTGGAATCGGTATTGTTTAGATACGCGCATGCAAATCGGGACATGACTGATCCGTATTGTGTAATCAACACTGATTATAGATGTTTGAAGTGGTGCGGTTCGTCGCTTAACGCGACCGACCATACGCCGCCTCCGACCACGAATCTCTTCCATTACAAATTTAATGAACGACCGCCTCCTTTGTCACCCGTTGATTCGGTCTAGTCTCTATCAATCATAGAACCCCGGAGCACTCCATCCATCGTCCCACCGCCACCTGCGGTTTAATTAGAAATTAATCAAGCCCTTCCACTCCCCCACACACCTACCAAAAACCACCTCCTCCCTCTTTTATCCCTTCGAATATTCCATACGGAAAATAATCGACGAAATTGATGACATTCGAATCGGACCGGACACAATTGTGCAATTCAGTATTCGAATTTAATTAAATCACATCTGCCAATAATATTCATATTAATTATGACCATCGCTTCTACTCGACATTCTGTCAACTCAACCTTAATGTATTATATTTCAATCTAATAGTTACATAATTATATTTTATTATATAATTATCACATATAATCTTTTTATTAAATTTCTATATTGTCAAATTGATTGAAATATAACTTTTATATTCGTATTCATTCTTAGAACATTAATGAACTTGTTTTATTATATTCGATTGAAACTCTAGGATTACTTCTACTTTTTACACATTGTTATTAGCTATAATCCAAATCCAAAATATTGATTTTTATTAATATTTAATACCAATAATAAAAATTAATGATTAAAATAAACTGTCTCATGTGAAAACAAGTAACATTGTAAAAATCTTGATTAATTTTTTATACAAACATTTCTTGTATTGAACATGTAAATTTCAAAAGTATACATTTGCAATGAACACGAATTGGTATAAGCATGTAGAGTCACGAACTTCGATAATATTCTTTGATATGTTGATATTCTTATATTTTTTATACTGCATTAATTTGTTTTCAATAATTTGTGCAACAACTGAATTTTAAATTTAAATATCAATTTGAAGAAAAAATCAGTACTGCATAGGCAAATGTAACATGATTTTTTACTTATAGAAACATTTTATATGAACTAAAATACTTATTGCGTGTAAACTTCCAATTAAATTTATTTTTTTAATATAATAAAATATGGTACAAATAAATCATTTTATTGATTAAATATTTTATTAACATGATAATAATATTTATTGCAACAATTATACATAAATAAGTAAAAAATAATAAAACATTTTTATAAAAGAATAATAAAATCATTATTTTTTACAATAAACTTCAGTCTTTTTTATTGACATTATATGTAATGAGACACTGACTTATTGACAGTTGTTGACAGAATATTCATGATTGTCAAATGAAAACAGTCAATTATAAATAATACATAAATTTACTTTAATGAAAACCAATACAATCTATGACTTATTTTTAACAATAAAAATACAGTTTTATTATTACATAACATGAAATGTAACTGAAATTAAAACAAATGGAGTTAAATATTTTGAAATATATAATTGAAATTATTCTTCGAAATGTGACATTTTAAATATGATGTATGCGTTAGTAAATTGAATATCTTTCAACGTTGAAACTAACCTTTGATACATTGAATATGGAAATAGATTACATATTGCATTCGCTGCATGTAACTAAACATAATTTAGCTAACTATGTAAGCAAATGCGAGGAATAAACACTCACTTGAATTGTGTGTTGATGATTACATTTACTTCATTTTAGTACTGCTCATGACATTTACACATATTTAAGAACTAATTAACTCTACAATATCCCAATAATACATATTGATTCAATAATGTAATTAACTATAATCGTCTTATTAATTAAATTACGAACATAATTATATCAAATAATTCTTATATAAATATTGTAACAATAAAATTAAACGTTTTTAATTATGCGACAATAGTTTCTATTGTATCATTTTTAGTCAACACTTTATCTTCTTTCAGTGAGTATATAAATCTTACTCTGTTAAAACTGTGGTATAAATAGTTACAGATCACATTAATCATACATCGAAAGAGTATATTCTGTCTTATGTTTCTGTATCTCCAACAAGTCTTATTATATTTTTCATACTAAACTATTTTATAACAAGTAACTATAGTATTATATTTTAAAGTAACTAATGTCTTTGCAATACTTGTTAAACAAATTGTCAAGTATTTGTAGCTATTAGTCAATTTGAAAATATGATATAAACAAGTATTTATTTTTATTTTCTATATTTTTAGTATTAAATATATTGGAATATTGAATATACTTTACACATTTTGAAAAAAAGGATCAAGTTAGATAATAATTCAATAGATATGCAATTCAGCTAATTTCATATCTTGAAATCAATATCATATATCAGTATTCCAATATTGATTATACTTCTTGTTTCCCGGCATGTACCAAAAAAAAGTGCAGAAGAAAAAGGAAGTTCATTAATTAGATTTTTAATTAATTTTCTTCCTTACCATCTTGAGTTTTCGCTCTGTTTGCAGGATGTTCTTTTTTAATTGGATTAATGTTGATTGATTAAATTAAAATTGAAAATAGGCGTAAGGAGAGAGACTGAGAAAAATATAAAAGCGAGTAGGAGGAAAAGTGGTTTTGCGAAGATATTGATTGGCAACTGATGAACAACGGTCTGTGGTAACGGATACACACACACATACACACATGATCCATGTGAATGGTGGGCGGTGGTGGTAATAGTCATCAATTGAGGGTGGTGGGTTTCCATTAAACGTTGGTAATGAAATAGTGAGTATGGAAATGTGTGCGGACGTCGAGCTGGATGGAGTGGCCTTACGGATGATGATGATGACGATGATCTGTTTGGAACGTGCACGTCTCGGCTGCGGTTGGCAATGGCCGTCCGCAGTTCCGGCCTGACCGGAAGTGATGTGGACCTGGTGTGGACGCCTCCGCCGTCGTGACATATCACTGATGAGCAATGCAGATGATATTAGTGGGGGCCGGCGGGTGAGTCTCTTTCTAACTTAGCAATCGATGTATATATATATATGTATGTCATGTGCGTGTGTGGACGTTCCTCATTGCTGAAACCGTTCCGCACGATCTTATCTTGGAGACCTCTCGAGGTCATCGCCGAAGATGGCTGGAGGCCAGAATTTTAATGTTTGCACGCGAAACATGGAACGGACGTTTCCGACAGCGATTAATCCAACTCCAACGAAATGAATAATTTGCCCTTCGCCTTGGTGCCATCCCATTCCTCACCACCGTTGCCCTTCCTCATTCACCACTTCCTCTTTTTCCACCCCTTTCATTTCTCTTTGATAACAAATAATAAAAACATGTTCATGATGTACGCTAATAAACGAGGTGTTCCATTTCACTGGCGCACTTCTTTCCAAATTGCCACGTTTACGCCATTCTTTCTATCTCACATCTACCATTCCATTTCCATAAATTAAAACCTCTTCCTTTTCCATTCTTCTTCCTTTTTTTTTCATTTCTCGCCACACTTCATAATTCTTATTTATTAAGATTTTACACTTGACTTTTATTAATTTTTCCGTCTTTTATATTTTATTATATCCGTTAGTAATATACATGTAAATTATAAAACGAATAATTGCAGTTTTATAATTATAACAATGAATATTTGTTGTAACATTTTATACAACGAACAAATAATTCATTTTAAATCATTCATTGTATGTGAATTTAGTTACTATTGTAATTTATTTGTTTTATAAAATTATTTAATATAAAACGTTTTTAATAATAATTAATTATCCAAAAATCTATATAACATATAATGTTCCAAAGACAAAACAAAATATAAATTATAAAGAATAAAACCTGAAAAAAGAAACTAAACAATTCTCTATAAATTTTAAAGAAAATACATTTGACCAAAGGACTATTTCACCTTAGTATTTCTGAAATTATTTAATAAATTGTTTGATTTACTATTAATAAGATAATAATTACTTCATATTATATTTATTTAAATTAATTCTATTTGAGCAAAGACGTAAGGACATAAGTTGCCAAAATATACAAATTTTAAGATTAGTTACACATAATTAATTGACATTTTTACTAGTACATATAGAAAATAACATTTAAAAAAAAGATGATAAAGATATGAATAATTCAAAATTTAGCTAAAATTAATATTTTACTAATTCAATATTATTTTCAAAAAACAATTGAAACAATCCTTCATTTCCAACATACAGTGGAACCTCGTTTTACGAGTTTAATTTGGTCAAAAATACGCGCAATCCGGGACTTCTCATCTCATCGTCACTCGTTATGCATTTTTCTTACAATTATTTTTTCTCGTTAAGAGAAATGGTCGTTATGCGAGGTGCTCGTTAAGCGAGGTTCCACTGTATATAGTTTGACTAATTTTTCTAAATTTTCTCTTACTATTAGCAATAACTTATGTATAATTTTAGGTATTATACATATTATAAATTCTTGTTTTTAGTTGATATACTTATTTATACCATAATTATTACGTACTATTAATTATTTTTTTATATATAAATTAAACTTTTTTCTGTTTTTCTGTGTAACTTAGGAAAAATGACCATTTTACAATTAAAACTTTGGAAGAATAGATATTCAAAGCTATTTATATTTCGGAAAACGTTTGTAACCTTCAGAAGTAATTTCCTAGTAGTAGGTCAAGGATACACTCAGCACATATAATTTGTTTTGACAGATGTAATTTATATAAATAGAAGCTGAGACATTGTGATTAATGATACTCTTCCTAAAATCACAATCGATAACGCTCATCTTTTAACATATCGTTGGAACTGTACACACAATACACGGGCCAATAGACTTTATAAAAATACTTTTTATTATATAATTACATTTAAAAAATAAACTTTAACTCAAATTAATGCTATATTTCAGAATATATATATACTTAAATAATGTATACAGTATTGCTTCTACAGTACCTCGTATAGTGCGGATTTTATCAATTTAAATTCACTATAGTACAGTTTAAAAATTTTCTAAACAAATTCAATTTTAATTCATAAAATAATAATAAAATAGAATACAAAATATTATTTTATACATAAATGATTATTTAGTATACTCTATACATTTTAGTCCTTTCGTGCAGTTTATTTTTATGCGGTCTTAAAATCCTCAATTAGTCCGGTTACAAACCAATTAACCGCACTATGCGAGGTATCGCATTACATTATATTTATTTGAAAATCTTTGTGGCTTCAACTTATTTCTTAAAATAACTAAAAACCTAATTTTTCAAATTCAATTAATTTTTTATTTAGATAATAATTTCTATATATTATTAAATTTTACTAAAAATCTACTTTACTTAAATTTGTATGAATATGAAATGCAATTAAAATATAAAGGTAACATTATAATCATATCTAAATATTAATCCTAATCCTTTGTATTAGATCTATAATTAGGAAAAATTAGTGATTATTTAGATTATTAATAGATAAACTTAATACATTTTATCATCTAAATCTATTAAGTGTATGATGAAACTAATGTTTTTTTTGTTTTTGTTCTAGGTAAGTCAAAGACACGTCCAGCGTGCAGATTCTTTTTGTTTCTTTCTCCACCATCTCTTTGTTCTCATCCATCGTCTCAAATGAGCGTCGTCTAATGGTGAAGTGCGAGCGAGTTTCTATTTCCATCTGGTGCTAACATTGAACTATTTTCTGACCACGAGATTTCGGGTGAGTAGACCAAAGTCACGTAACGGAAACGGCGATGCCAATGTCTGACGTGCATACGACATTGACACGTTAAAAACTGAAACGTTTGCCGCTGCAAATGCCGTTTCGATATGGTGAATATATATAGAAAAATAAATATATATTGGAAAAAAGTAAAACGAACAAATTGGAAGTCGTCGAAAGATTGATGTGAATTCACCACCCCTTTAGAATGTTTTTTTTCTATTTCTGAGGCCACAGTTGAACGGCGTTTGGTGCAAAAAAGCGCAACCTAATTGGGATCAAAACAGGATAATGCAAACAGTCGTTTTTTCCATGCCAAGAACTCGCGATGTGCCTACATTTTATTATTTTTTTTCGTGGTCTGTAATTAAGATAAACACATCCATCATCAATCTAATAATAAATCTTGGGCAAGGGGAATCCCCGCCCGACATCCGCGAAACCACCCTCTTGGAACACGCGATTTCCATGCAGTATTTGTATCGATTGTCAAAAGAGTAAATAAAGCGATGAGATGAGTATCGTGACGTGGCAATGTACAGTTGCTCACTTGAACAACTTCCGAAATTATATAACATTACTACTAGATTTATTCCTATATCTCTTCAAATCAACATTTATGTATCTTTTGATAAGTCTCTTGGTTATTTTCAGTTATATAAATTTAAGAATGCGGCTTATATAAGAATCTACGCGTATTTTCAAATACAGGTTTTAATTATTTCTAATTATATAAAATCGTTATTGAATGAGAATTAAATGTTGATTTTAAATAATATATTTAATATGTTTAAATTTACGAGTAATTTCGAGATTATGTTGGAACCTTATGTCTTCGAGATCCATACCATCCATTTAAAACACAAAAAACTGTACCAACAAAGCCGGGAGGGCATTTATCAGATGTGTTGTTTGCAAAACAAGTGTGTTTTAGTTGAAATTTAGATTTTCCGAATTTGCTGGTACACAGATCATATCAAATATTTTATTAAATTTATATAGACGTATATACATTTTTAATACATTTGTGAAAAATTGATAAATTCTAACAACAAAATGTATAGCAATATACAGAGGCACCTCGGTTGTCTAACATAATTATTTTCTAAAATAAACTCAATAAAAACTATATTATCCATGTATAAGACGCAGGTATTTTTGAAAATTTTGAGGTCTTATCCAGATAATGCGTACATCTCACGCATCTCACACATTGGAGCTTTTTACACTTCGGGAAATATTGTATATGTAAATATAACTTTACTTTATCTACGACAAAGAGTACATCATAAGCACTTGTATCATGTTGGAGTACCGAAATTCCGTTTGAAAATCGTATTTTAGGTCATTTTTTTGTTCGGGAACCGAGGCTATATCCACTATATTAATAATTTGAAATCAAAAGATAATAAACGAGATTATTTATTAAATTTACGAATGGATTTCTAAATAACTGAAATAACACACATTTTCTCTCAGAAATACAAATAATAGAAACTACCACGAAATAATTGAAATTGATTCTCGTAAAAGAAAAATGACGGTGATGATACATTTTCGTGTTTCTAGCAACCCGTTGTTCGTATCCATGAGTCATGGGGTATCGGATTGATTACTTTGTATAAATATATATTTTTTTTTCATTTTGTAGGTATTTTTCTGTGCCGCTTTCAAATGTAACAATAAATATTAACAATTATTTAAACAGACCAATTGGAAAACATAGACTCGATAAAAATTCCGTATTTAATTGAAACTGTTGTGTATGTATGGACATTTCTACATGGAAATTGAGTCATCGGTATTCATTGAAACCAATATGTTTTGTTCAATTTGTTTCATAGAAGCATTCAAAATGTTAATTTCTTATATATTGTACTTTTTTTACATGGAAAATTATATATTCGTTTTAGTTTCTACAAAATTTAATCACTTTCTACACAATTAATTTAATTTTTTATTTATAAAAAACAATATTAAAAAAAATTAAATATGTTTGAAAATTTCATAAATTTTCAAATTATTTTTCAAAATTTAAAATTAATCTCGTAAAGAAATAATAATATTCATATAGTCTGAAATTTCAATATTTGTAAATGTTATTTTATTGAATTGGTAAATTTAATGAATTACTATTATAAATAATTGAATATGAACCTCATACGTATATAAAAAAGACAATTGACCTCCATATTTCCAGCTTTGAACCTTATTCATCAGCTTAAACATTATAAACTTTTTCTTATTTCCAATCCTAAATAGATG